GGGGCTCCAGCCAGGTGGAGCGGGATGGGGGGCCGCCACCGGCACCCTCCGGCCTGCCCCGGGCCAAGCCCCGCAGTGTCAGCCTCAAGCTGGAGGGTGAGGAGTGAGGTTGGCTCCACCACTGACCCCCCTCCACTGCAGCCTTTGTTTCCCAGCCAGGAGCACCTGGGGCTGGAGTCTGCTGTGGGCCCTGAGCCCACAGGAAGGAGACGAGGGTGCTGGGTCCCCTGAGACCAAGGAGCCCTGGGAGATGGCATGCCAAGACCCCCGCTGAGGGCCAGAGCCATCACCTTGGGGCGGAGCCACTCTGGGTTCCCCCTGCTGCCCCCCAGCTCTGCCTCCACCCTGTCTCCCCCGGGTCCTTTGGGGCTGCAGAGCTGCTGCTGAGGAGTGCCCAGGGTGGGCATTCACCCCCTGGGGACCTGATGTGCTGCCTCCCGGGGTCACCTGTCCCAGGGCAGTGTTGGGGGGGCCATGGCTACGTCCCAGGGCAAGCGGCACCTCCCTGCTCCCCACCTATTTATTTCCGTTCGGTGTCACCAGCCACGGGGCAGGGGAAGGGCCGGGATTCAAAAGTGGTTTCTCTGTTCTCTTCGTTTTGTTGCGGTGTGAAATAAAGCAATGTAAAGATGAGGTGCCAGTGCCCGCATGTCTGCTCTGTACCAGCTGGCCATGGGAGATGGCACTGGGGCTTCCCCACCACCACCCAGCAAAGCCCTGGCCCCGCAGGAGTCTCAGACCCAGGAACATGGTGTCACGCAGGAAGGTGGGCTTGGGGAACAGCAGTTGGGTCATGAGTGGTTTAGGACATGTCATGGTGGGGTAAGAAAGACTCTGTCTCTGCTGGAAAATGCAGCTTGGGGTGTCTGTGGGCTGCCCCCTGGTACACGCTGATGCTGACATCAAGCCGTACATCACCTGAACGGCTAAACCTTTTCATAGAATCATAGAATGGTTTGGGTTGGAAGGGACCTTCAAGATCATCTAGTTCCAACCCCCCTGCCATGGGCAAGGACACCTTCCCCTAGACCAGGTTGCTCAAAGCCTCATCCAGCCTGACCTTGAACACTTCCAGGGTGTTTCCGCAAGAGAAACGAGATGGAGGGACGGTGGGGGCAGGAGGAGGAACGCTGCTGGCTTCAGCGAGCAGAGCATGGCTGGGGCAGCTAGGACTGGGCCCAGGGTGAGGGCCAGGGGGTTTGAGTTGCTGCAGGGGTGTGGGCTCAGCTTTGAGCTCCTGCAACGTGGGGCCGGGCCGGGCACACACTGACATGGCAGCTACGTGCGTTAGAGCTGCTCTTACACTGTGAGCGCAGGATGGCATGTGCTGGAGAGTTGTCTTGGCTCTACACCTTAGAATAGTCATTTAGCAGCTGTAACACATTCCACATGGAGTGCTCACTGCTGCAAGGGCTCAGTTTTTTAGCGAGTTTATAAGGCCTCAGGGCCAGGGCTTGCCAGGCTCCTTCCCCCGACCTGTCCCTCACCTGCCTACAACTTTGTTTTATCTCATTTACCTATAACAGCCATTTTTCTAAGTGACCAGGTGCCTGTGACTAGTTTTACTTTTGTTTATCTTGGCATAACGCGACCAGAGTTTTATATAGATAGTGGTAACAAGCAGTTACTCTATATAAAATATTTATGATGCTGACATGATGTAGTATAGAGGAAACACGGTCTTGGGATGATAGCAGCAGCCTTGAGAAGTGACGATGCAGGACACGGCATGAAGCACAGGTGTGAAAGGGTTGCAGACAGGGCCGAGGCCTTGGCACCGCAGCCCCCATGGCTGTAAACTGCTTGGCCAGCCTTGGGCGCGGTGCCTCAGCCCAACATAAAGTATAAAACCATCAAACAACAAATAAAAGAATTTGGCAGAGAGCAGCGGGCTTGAGCTCACATCACCCCACGCGTCCCTTTCCGGCGTGACGATGAGCACAGTCTAGAGCCTGGCAAGGAGCTTCACCTTTCGATTACACTTCAACTGTGTGCTGCGATTGCTGTACGCTGCTTAATACTGAGACTTAAGTGCACTGCCGTGTCACCGGGCTGTGGCGAGCTCCCAGGCCACTTCAAATAAGTAAAATTTGTATTAAACATTAATAAACATCAATGAACATTCCACATGTGGAATATCTAAAAGAACCTGTTCAGAGAGCGTTGGGGCTCTCCGCTGCGGCCGTGGGCTCTACTGTGAGAAGATGCCCTTGAAGCGGATCTTGTCCTCGGCATCCTTCTCGCGCAGGCGGGCTTCCAGGCTCCGCAGCTCCTTGGAGACGATGGGGCGCAGCGAGGGGTCGAGGGCCAGCACTTTGGCAAAGTCAGCCTGTGCCTCCGCCACGTTCCACACTGCCGCGTGAGCCTTCCCCCGCTTGAAGTAGGCCTTGACGTTGTCTGCAGGGAGAGAGCTGCTGGGCTGGTGGAGCATGGCATGGCTTTGCCGGTACCTGCTTGCCCCATCAGCAGCAACTGCAGCTGGCAGGGCTGGCCCATGGCTCCTTACCCTCGTACTTGTTGAGAATGGAGGAGCAGTGATCCAGCACCTCATAGTACTCTTCGCACTGCAGCTTGCATTGGCAGTAATTCAACAGCAGGGGTGTGATCTTCTGGTCCAGCTCGATCCAGTCTGGAGAGCCGGGCTGCTCCTGCAAAACCAGATGGAGAGGGGAGAATGAGGGGAAGGTCCCAAGCCCTGCACACTGGGAGGGATGTGGGGAGGCCTGTGTGGACCCCAGAGAGGGGCTGGAGAGCCCCACCTTCATCTGCAGGTTCTTGAGACAGGCGATGGCATCATAGTATTTGGCAGATGCCTCCTGCACCTTGC